TTAACACCAAGGGCGATTCTCTTTAGAAGAGGTTCAAAATAGATACCCCAAATTAGGGTTTCTTTATCCAGAAAGAACCGTGCAGTCCTCTTTGAACTGTTAAAAAGCAGCAGCACAGCTGTGGTCCCGTGCTTTCTCAGCTTGCATTACGGACCATTTCTGCACTAATGCAGTTATCTGCCTGAATAACTGAAAGCCAAGAGTGCACTTCTGGAGAGGTTGTACACAGGAAAAAGAGTTTTGAGCTTAATGCTTATGCCATTGTGCAACAAGCCATCCATCTTTCACTGCTTATCTGGGTTTGGGTTGCAAGGGCAGCAGTCTGAGCAGAGAAGACCAGACTCCCCACACCAGCTCGTCCATCCGGGGGTGACACCAAGAGATTCCCAAGCTAGCCGAGAGATGTAGTCTCTCCAGCGAGTGTTTGGTCTGTCCATCGGCCTCTTCCCGGTGGGACATGACCACAACAACATACCTAGGAGGCCTAGTCAGTAGCTTGAACAATCTCAACTGACCCCTTTCAGTGTGTAGCAGCTCTACTCAGAGTTCCTCTCAAATGTCTGAGAGCCCATTCTTAGAAGGAAACTCATTTCTGCTGCTTGTATCCACGAACTCAAACTTTTGGTCACTACCAAAAGCTCATGACAATAGATGAGAATAAAAGTGTAGATTGATCAGTAAATTTAGACAGCTTTGCTTTTATGCTTAGCCCTCTTATTACTGCAAACGCTACTCCCAACAGACCAGACTCGTGGAAGTAATGCTTCCTGTGAAGCTACATAGCACGTCTTAAAGGAGGTGTTACACCAATATGCACACAATTTTAATACCAAATAGGAATGTCTGGCAGGTTTGTTTAACATATTGATCATATTTTACTGATAAAAGCACACCACTATAAAGTGTTTTCTATTGGTATTAAACTCAAACGTTTTGTTGGCATTTATCCATAAGCCAGCATGGATGAATTAAATTGTTGACTCAACAGTACTTGCGGGAAAATTTTTTTTTGATGAACTGTTACATTCTGTTAGAGATTTTACTCACTAATTTTTTTCGGAATTTCAGGGCAAGGAAAGTTGATAAACTTACTGGGTTAGGGGTTTGATGGTTTACTCACCAGCCACAAAAACGCAAAAACAATGACACAAACTGCCATGGAGATGGTAGCAAAAATCAAAGGCGTCAAGTTTTCGTCCTCCAGAAACTCTGCAAATGACAACAAAACAAAACAAAACAAACAAACACTGAGTACACTTTTCCCCCATTATTTTCTAAGTTACATAAAGCATCCAAGTCTGGTGCATTAACTGCATTAACATTGTACCTGGTGTTTGTTGAGTTCTAAGGTTAGGTGGTGACTGGGATGTTTCTTGAGGAGTCGTAAATGTTTGTTGAGTACTTGGGCACGGTGGTGGTTCACATGAGGAATCAAATAGTCCTCGATCAGCTTCACGTAAGAGGTTTTCCATGTAGTCAAAGTAAGGGCCAGGTGGTATGTGCTGTTCCTGATAGTGGCAATCAAAGTACTGCATCAATATTTCCTGTGGGAATCAGATAACATGCTCACTTGAAATAACTAAATTATACAATTAAGTGTACAAAAACAAATTACTTCTGCCTAAAACTGAGTTTCAGTGTTTTCTTGCACAGTGAACCAGTGTGCTTCTACAAATTAAACTACATCTCATTTTAAAGCTATGCATGTCACCGTCCAAACGCTATTAAAAATAAATATGCTGTCAGAAATGCATATAATGAATGAGGTCGATGATTACCCACCACTTTCACATGGTCAAACTTCAGCCACACAGTTTGGAAAATTTCAAGAAAAATAAGCAGGCTTTCGCTGTTGTTGGATTTGTCACCAAAATTGTTGGTCAATCTCTCAAGACTTCGCGCCATTGGATAGATATTTAGCACCACCCAACAAGTGCCAGCCTGGAGAGGCATGTACAAAAACCTTGAACAACAAAAATAAAATTAAAAATAATAAAAGAAATTTGCTCATATTTCTTCATTTTATACATACCACCTCTTTGGGAACATAACTAATGGGAATCAAATAGTCACTGGGAAGATCCTGCTTCTATAGGGGAAATAGGGACCATCAGAGAGGTTTTTGTAAAAAAAAAAAAAAAATCCAACAGAATTTTGATTAAAAATTAAAAATTTCTTTTATCCAAGCATAGCAGACCTCTTTGGTTATCAGATTGTCAGAAATAAGAAAATAAAGATGTTCTCACCTCCCCAGAGGTTAATTCTGGGCCAAGAAAGCCCCACAACATACAACAAATGTGACATACATCAAGCCTGTAGCAACTCACCAACAGTCTATAGAGATCAGTTACTGGTGACCCATATTCAAAGCAGAGAGTCAAATTTGTCAAGAGACTCAGGAGGAGACAAGGCACCTTTGGGATGAATACAAAAGTATGGCTACATCATACAGTGCATATGCTTTACATTATGTATAGTCATTTAGAGTTATAAAAATAAATTTGGGATTGGTGATGTTTGTGTGCAGCAGCAGAAATGAGATTTCCCCATAGTCTCACATTTAAATCTAACCGTCCCAGTATTGTTTAAGCTATATAAATGTGGCTATATATAATTTTTTAGGGTTTAAAACCAGTATAAAACTAGCTGATGACAATAAAATCTTGCTCTAAGTTCCACCCCTTAAATTTACTGTCAAATATAGCATAAATAGTACAGTTTGACATAAGCATGGGCCACTGTTTTAAAAAAATTAAATTATAAGGGAATTCACTTTTACACAAGCAGAGTTACTGCCAAGTTAGCTGGGATTACTTGTAAGAGTTGCTCTGATATTTTGTTAAAACCAAGATAGCTAGCTAAAGTTTATGTTGAACTTGCCAGCTGGCAAGCTAGCAGCCCATCCCAATTACAGTAGCATCGTTTTAAGTAAGATATGAGATCAAATCCCATCAAACAAGGTCTCACTGCCCGTTTTCCCTACCTTGACATCCATTACCAACACCTGCACCCTCTGA